GCATGAGATCCGGAGGTTGTACAAACCTACACACTGTGGTATTTAGCAAGAGAGTCTTTGACCAACTACACAGAAACTCTAATTTGAAGTAAACTCTTAATTTTTGAGACAAAAAAGGTTATATATACTAAACATCTTTGAAAGTTGAAGATATATAAAAGTGTTAAAAATGCTGCATTTGAAGCATGAGACTAATGGTGTTCACAAACACTGAGCCAATGAATTATGTAAACTACCATTCAATAGTTTGGGGTCAGCACCTTTTTTTTTTAAAGAAATAAAAAAAGAAATTCAGTAAAGATGGATTAAATTAATCAAATGTGACAGTGAAGACATTATTATGTTACAGCATATTTCTATTTGATAAATTCTGTTCTTTTGAACTTTCTATCCTTTAGACAATCCTGAAAAAAGTTTCACGGTTTTACTCTTAATATTAAGCGGCACAACTGTTTTCAACGTTGATAGTTATAAGAAATGTTTCTTGAGCGGAATAGATCTGCTACGCTGCTGTTTGTCATTGCTTCTGCTGCAGAGCAAGTACAGGACTTGCTACTGCCAATGCATACACGACACTGCTGTGAGCAAGTAAGACATGCTGCTGCTGTACAATATAGCATACATGAATAACCCGTAGCAAATCTATACAGGTGGAGCTGGGGAAGGTGGAGGGCTTTCTGAAAGTACGCTACACTGCTAAGGCAATGCTACCCAAGTATCTGAAGGTTGAGCTGCAAGCTCATTGGCTACTGATAGGAACTAATCAGCTGTGCCCTATAGAGAATGAAGTGATTGCAAGCAGATTGAATTAAGGACCTATAAACCTGCACCATCTAGAGTTTCATGACAGACATTTTTTTTTTTTTTTATGTTTACACATTGGTCTGAATTAAAGTATATGATAATTTACAATAAATTATTATTAATCTTCCCAAAGGTGAAGCTGAATTTGCAAAACGTGAAGAGCTGCTGCAGAAGCGAGCTGAAATTGCTAGATGCTGGATCAAATATTGCCTTAATCTGCTGCAAGATGCGAAAAAACTTCTTGAGGTAGCCATTCTTTTTCTTTTTACATTTCAAGAGCTTATGTGCACAAATTGACCGTTATTATTTTGACTTATCTGAGCAATTTCCATTGCTACACAGGATAATGTCGGCGAACTAGACTCAGATCGACAGGAAGAACTGAAAAGAGCACGTCGGAATGAAGAGGAAGAGAAAGAGAAGGGAAGAAAGAGTGCCATCCTTTTTGGTTCAAGTGATACTTTCGACTCTATTTGCAGCCTGGAAGAGAAAGTAAGCAGCATGCTTCCACTGGACTTTGAAGAAGCACGTGGCATTTTCCTGGTGGGTCAAGGCTACGTAGCTCAAGCCAAAGAGTATTATGAAATGGATGGTCATGTGACAGATCACATTGAGATCTTGCAGGACCATAGCACTCTCTTCAAGGTCCTGGCCTTCTTTGAAGAGGACCTGGAACGGCGCTGTAAGATGCACAAACGTCGCGTCGACATGCTGGAGCCGGTCTGCAAGGATTTGAATGCTCAGTACTATTTGTTAATCTGTCGGCAGCTGCAGTTTGAACTTGCAGAAACCTATTATGAGATGATGGACCTGAAGCTCGCTGTGGCCGACAAGCAGGATCAGCCAGACGTGCACACCATAAAGAAGTTTAACCTCTTGTGTTCCTCCTCTACGAGGTATTATCAGATGTTCCTCGACTCCGTCCGCTCACCAGAGGGCAAGTTTCCTGAAAAGCTTGAGGATGACCTGCTGAGGCCGGCGTTGGTGGCCAAATTCCGTGTCGCCAGATTACAGTCCAAGCTTATTTCCAGTAACCCGGCTTCTCAACTGGAGAATCTCAGCCTCTCGCTGGAGTCGTACAAGTTCGTAGTGCAATACTGCGAGGAGAATCCAGAAGCCAAGAATGCAGTTGAAACCGAGCTAGAGCTGAGTGTGGAGATGGTCTCCCTGCTTCCTCTGAAGATCAACAGAATCAAATCCACAATGGCCTCCTCCAACTAACACGCTGTTGAAAACACTGTATTGTGGCGCCTCGCATAAATATGAACAACTCACTACTACACACTACTCCTTGTTCCATGCCACACATAAATGTATCTAATGAGCCTTCACAGGACCACCTTGTAAGAAACCCATTCAGCCTTTGCAAACGTTGATGTGAACTGATGTAACTGCATGATTTACAGTCATTAATTTATTTTCAAAGTACTATGTACAATTTTGTTTCATGCTGTGCAAATTTTTTTTTTTTTAAGTATTGTGATTGGTATGTTTAGCAAGCCCAATATGAAAGATAAAACTGTACTAATATTAAAGCATTTTAGGCCAATAAACAAGCCAAAAATAAATCTTTGGTGTGTCTTATTCTGTCAAAATCTCATTCAGAGTATATTTATTTTCAGTTTATAACATTTGAGACACACATACACAAAACTGGCTTAGTTTAGTTGCAGCCGAGGTTGTGCAATTTATAGCTGGCAAATTATCCAGCTGAATGCAGAGAGGAAAGTACCTGAAAGTACAGGGCCACTTAACATTTAATTGAGTTTGTGCAGCAAAATTAGGATGTTGAGAATTTTTTTACAGTCAAGTTTGATGTACATCTAATTCTTTCTCTCTTTTTTTTAATCAAGGATGTGGTTCTTGTTTGGTGATAATCATACTGTGGAAGAGTCAGTTTTGTAATTAACGGTTGTTTTCAACAGAAAGTTGAAATAGTAGAGTATGTAACCAACGGTTGACCCGCAAAGTATAACCCAAACTTATTGCATTTCCTTCTCTAAATATTTCAGTAATACCATTCTGGTGCTTCCCTTTTTTTGTATTCTATCTATTTTATATTCATAACAAATAACCAATACCAAATAAATACCCAGATAGTTGGTGCACATACATAACTGACTATGGGTGTGTGCCAAGTTTTACTCTAAGATACAATTTGATATCAACAGTTAAAGCCTAGCTACTCGGATTCAAAAAAAAATTAATTTTCCGTTTTATAAATTGGATATCCAATGTTTTGGTGTCTATAATAATAATTTAGTGTGATCAATTAAAAGAAAGGTTTGATTTAAGTTAAATCAAAGAAACTTGCTAGCTTGCTATATGTCAATCAAAAAGAAGAAATACACGAAATGGTGTCATAGTTTCATCTTGAGTAACTATAAAGAAAAGCAAATGCCGAGAGTGCAGGTTTTTCCCAAAGGCAATAAGATGTAACCATCATCATTACATGTTTTAGTCAAGTCTCTGCGAGGAGCAAATATTACACAATCAGAATAAGCTCTACCAAGCCAAAATTACACGCTCTTTTGTTCTTGAGATATAGCAGAGTAAATGTCCTTGTGGGACACTCTCTCGGTCATCTTCAGCCAGAGAGACAAACAAACTTCAAACCCTGAACTTAGCCAAGTGTTGAGTATAGTGACTGACATCAAACTTGATGTACTTTACATCTTAGTGCCGTTTAAAGTGTGAAGGTTGTTGTGAAACACTTTCATCTACAACAACTACAAAGTTCATCTACAACTTTGATGTTTTACCTGAGACTCCATATTATCTGAATCCGATGTCAGGTTATTTCCATATATTAGATGGAACACTATTAATTACTAGTCATCAAGCCTTGAATTACTAGTGTTCTTAAAATAATCATAGAATGAACCAAACTGCTACAGTATGGCCAAATTAGCCATGTTAACAGAAATCTAACAAACTCCCCAGTATACAGTACTTGGAATATTCTTTAGACAAAATTTCCCACACTTTCCTTTTGCTTATGCATGCAATGGAAAACTCCTCTCTGTCTTGCCATATCGTGTGCTAATAAAAGGAGAAACCCATGTCATTTCTTGCATGAGCTAAACCACTTCCTGCAAGCTATGACAGCTTTGTATCAACATGTTGACACATTCAGGCTGAGCACAAAACTGCTCCACCATACAGTCTTTTCACTGTTTCACATTATAGATGTTCGTATTTAATAACATAATCCATCTCATCCAGCTTTTTTTTTGTTAGATAGCAGTTTATAGTGGTTCATTTATCACCATGTGGATAGCAATACACATTACTAAAAACATATTACAATAGACTGATATCATCCAAAACATGTATGTCTGCATCAAGGAACTCTTTTCTTTTTTAATGCTGTCATTGTGTTTTTATTAGTAGGCTATTGTATAATTTAACATTCATGTTATTTTAATTAATCTATTGGAAATGACTTCACCAACCCATTCCCAGAAAAGTTAGATCTTAGTTGGAAATAAGCTATCAATTCATGGGTGATTCTGCAGAATTTAACCTTAATCTATTCTGTGAGTTAATATTGCTCAACGTCCCAGACATGTTGCAACAACAACAAAAATTAAAAAATATACATTTTAATTATAGAAACTGACAGTGTCCATGATATGGGACAGTGACTTCCAGAATGTTAGATGGTTTCAATTCCAGCATTTGTTGCTATCATAGGCCTGACACTTAACTATCAGAATAGTGATTTATAATGGAGCACAGTATAGCCTGGATTTCACTTGAAACATTTTTTTTTTACATAGGAACAAATAGTAGCCTAGTGTGACAGCAGTTTTATTTAAGTGCTTTTTCCTACTTCAGCTGATGTCCCACTTTTGCTGAACACAAAAAAAAATAATGAATTGTAATAGTGGCCTATAGCCTATTTTTGTCACTCACTTATATATTTGATGGACACAAAACAAGTTTTGTAAATCAAAAGGCAGTAAATCAAAAACAGAGAGTTTATTGTTGTTCTCTCGATGGAACTGACGTTTTCATATTTGTTTAGTTTTAATCTGACTTGTTTTGGCATTCCTGTTGTGTATATTTAAAACGGCGGTTGAATTCGGTTTGTATATTAGTAATAGTTCAGATTGAGAAACCTTGCCAAAGCGAGCTGTTGTGGGCTGATTTCAGGAAACAATGACGCACACAGGGGCAGGGTCTTTTACATAGCCCATTGAACTAGGAGAAGTTTTTGTCTGAAGTTCATTTGAAGACATTTTCTTTCGCATCTTCTGCTTTGCATGAACAATAGGATGAGATTTTACCACAGAATAACTTTGGCACTGGCAATGATATGCCTTTTTGGGGACAGTGGACAAGGTAAGTTTATTATTTAAGCATTCTAAGATAAGGTTTTGAAGTAGCCTAGATGATAGTAAACTCTTCACGGAAGGTGTTTCTGGGTTATAAAAACTGCGTATCTTCATGAAAAGTTCGCAAGATATTGTTATGAAAAATAAAATATTAAAAAAGAGTTGCCAAACTTGTCAGCCACGATTGTTGACTGTCAAATCACCCATCGTTATACTGAAAAATATCAATACATCCATCTCTTACACAATTAAGGCTATTTTACCGCTATTTCTGCGTGGGGCTTTTACATTAGGAAATGTGTCAGTGTTTTAAATTAATTTAATTAATTCACTAACCTATAAGTAGAGTTAATACTGACTTTGCCCATACTAACGTTACCATTAAATAGTAGCCTAATTATAAAACCTTTTATAGGCCTATAGGCTACTAATAATGAATTTACTTATTCTTCGATTCCGAATCGCGTTAACGACTCTGGTTTATTTAACGGTTCTATCAATTAATCTTTTAGTAGTTTTTTATTAAGAAATGTTTGGAAAAACAATCTTGTTGGTTATAATGAACTCAGCAGCCCGTTGCCGATGGTCGCGATGTATGGTTTTGATTCACTAAAAAGATCCGGCTCATTAGAATGATCCGTTCGGAGAACTGGCTACATTGTAACGCGGAGCTTGGTTTTGATTCACTAAAAAGAACCGGCACATTAGAATCATTCGTTCGGAAAACTGTCTGCGTAACGCGCAACTTGGTTTTGATTCACAGAAAAGAGTAGGAAATAGTTTTATATTGTGAAATTGTGCCATATTGTGCAATAGGCTATTCGTGGGCGGGATTTATTTATTCTATACAATAAAAACACATAATAAACAAATACATAATAATAATAAAATAGGTAGGCTACATAAGATAATACATAAAAATAAATTAGGCTACTTAAAACACTATTTAATAAATAAATACAATTTGAGCTCACAAATTAATGACAAAATACATAGTAAAACACTGGTCAGTTCATTATTACAATATCATGCCTGAGGAGTTTGTTTGAGGATAGTGTGAATGTCTGACAAGCCCCTCATCTGTCATTCTGTATTATCCCTGAACTCAGGAGCCCCAACCAAAGGCAGGTATATGTGGTTGAAATGCAACCCGGATGATAAGAATGCAAACTGTGTCGCACAGAAGGGCCCTTGGGTGCCCCTGTCAGGGCAAAGCACTCGACTTCCACCTTCTGCTGCAAAACACATGTAAGTTGTCTGTTTATTTACTTCTGTTCACTTACTTTGACATGTTTATTTATGTCTAGATTAATGAAAACTAAAGAGTTTAGGAAATGTATTGTATTGGAACATGATGCATTTCACTACTGTAAACTGTAGACATTTGATTAGATTTAGTTTGTTTAGTTTGCAGAAAATCTTATCGCCACTATCCCTCCTGTCATACCCGAATCCCAGATAGGCCTATTTTCTAGGAAAAATTATGTATAGCATTTTCACATCCAATATTTATGGTCAAGAATGGGACCACTGGAGCCGTGTTACAGCTTAATCATCCATCAATAAGTTCAATACTATCTGCAGTGGAAGCTAAAGTTTTAGAAAAAGTGTTATGAGAGACAGTTTTCGACCTACACGAAGTACTGACTGCTTCCTCAGATATGATGTCATAGAAAGTGGGGTTAAGAAAGGAAAGAAATGCAATAAGTTTTACTGAATTTTGTTTCTTGGAAACATTTTCACCAAAATATGCTGATGTTGTTCAACGTCAGGGGCATTTCCAGAGTTGCTTATACTGTATGTTTTGACATTTTGAATTTGACGCTTCACCACATCATGATTCAAATCTCTGTTATCGTTTTCCTGGCAGTGGTGATTATTTCTGCTGAAAGTACTGTGTCTTTTCACATATTCATAAGGATGAGATATTTTCTGTAAGGTTTTGTCACTGTCAAATACATGTTTAGTGCTCATTATGCTAGAACTACAATTGCTGTGTGTTATATAACTGGAAAAGGCAGCTAAAGTGTCAAATATTTTTGATTTAGCTAATTACACAATATGACCATATGGTCTTAGAATCAAACATCGGTTTTTACTATTTAATTACTTAGATCAAATTTGTTCTTAGATTGTATCTTTTTCTACTCAGCATTTCTCATGCTGAATCACTTCCTTCCATGCCTCAATCATATTGACGTCACGACAGCTGTATCTCCTTACAATTTTTCACAATCTTCTCCCTGAAAACATGATATCTTACAGATCAAGGAGATAACTAGAATGTTGAAAAAGTAAAATAATGTTCCTGTTATTCACTCACTGTTTGGTTGAATTGTAATAGTTCACAATATCTTCCTTACACATACTTAGAAACACAATGTCTTCCTTTCACATATAAAAAGACGACAAAAAAGACATTTTGAAAGTCACCATGAAATAAAAATGGGCAATTCTTTTTTTCTTTTTGTTTTTGAATATTTAAGGCATATTTATAGTAAAATATTTATCTGAGCACATTTCACTTGAATATATGTCACAATAGGGAAGGCAATTCTATTGCCACTTCTGTTTTATGTTGACTAAGTCTAGTGTGGAGGTCAGCGGGATGATTAAAGAGGCTATATCATGCCCTGCCCAGGATTTTGTTTTTGGGGTCTAGTAGAATTGTTTTATATGCTAGAATGTTCAAAAACACATTATTTTTTTTACATATTTTAAATTGTTGCAGCACCTCTCTCTGGAGTCTGCCTGTAACGCTCTGTTTAGTTCTGGTCCCTAAAGCCCCTCCTTCTGAAAAGCGCAATGTGCTCGGATTGTGTTGTGATTGGTCAACTGTTATCGTTAAAAAATATCGGAAATCGTTGTTTCCCCCTCCTCCTGACTCGACGCTCACTCGGGTATACAGTTTAAGGACACACTCAACAGGAACGAGCGCAATTGACAATGAAAGCCGAGGAGACTTACACACTGTAAGATGATGAGTTGATTTATCCAGATTTTAATATGCTCTCGTTCATAGAGATTTTTAGATGGATACCGAGGCTTTTTAGGTTGGGAATCTGCAATCTCTGACCCAGTTTGTTTGCTGGCTGTAATACACCGTTTCCTGCCAACTGGCATCCCGGGGTGTTGAAATACTATTGGGTGAACTGGCAGTGGGCGAGATCACACAGACCAAAACAAAAACAGACATTCCAACACGGATGCACATTTCAAAGTAAATACTAGTGTTTTTCAGAGAAACGAGTATGTGAACTCTGCATGTTTCCTAAATATCTGCAAACATATTGTGGTATTTTTATGCTTTAGTAGAGTGAAAAAGATACATACAGCACCTTAAAGACTAAAAGCGAGGCATTTCAGGGAGTTCAGAAACAGGGCTTACTGATATAGAGAATAACTCTGTAGTAGACGTTGTGCTTTGGAACTTTGCAGACCTTTTTCATGCTCAAACTGCAACATTATACACTGAAAGCTGAAAATGTAAAAAAAAAAAAAAAAAACATAATCTTGACCTGCCCCCTTAATTTCTCAACAAAATGACAGGAAGGGCTGAGAGGATGTTGGAGCGCTCTTGAATGACTTTGTGCTTTTGTTTTCAACAGATTCCCAGTAGAGGAAGCCACTCCTGAGATTGAGGAGCAGTCAGGAGAGGGTTCAGGTAACTCAGACACCTTGGCCCCTTTTCTCAACATGGATCAGCAGTTGATGGGAGACGGTCCAGAGCAGGAACTCAACAAGAATGAAGTGGAAGCATCGACTTGGATGGAGTCCAGTGGAGACATTGATTACGCCGAGTATGTCTCACCTCAGAAAATAGATTGGCTTTCTTCACAGGATTTGAAAGAGGACAACATTATTGTGTAAAGTGCTGGATAACATGTCATGTGCTTTTTCGGTTTTCTTTTGTACAATGTGAAACATATGGGATGCTGCTTTTTTTGGTCACAGATGTAATTAGTATATATTCATAAACTGTGACATGCTCTGGCAAAGTTAATTATATCCAAGTTTGCATTGTAAGGATCTATTTTATTTGCTCTTCATTTTTTAAACGTATTATTTTATTTACTCTTAATGTCCATAGTGTGACCCATGATCTGACTTAACTATTAAAACAATCATTTGAATTAATTTGGAATGGAAATATTATTGAATGCAACAGAGACTATTTAAATAAAGTGTTTGGGTAGCAAGGAGTACATTTTGTAAACATTTAAATGTCTTTTTTTTGCCACTATTTTATAATAGTTCAAATTTCAAAAAACAACTTAAATAAAAAATTATACAAAAAACAACTTAACTATAAGCATCTGTGTCTCATTTTGAACTCTTCAAACCAGCAAAAGGAGTGATGAACTGTATTCAACAGAAGCTAGATATGAGGTCAGCCATTTAGGCTTCCTGTTTTACCAGAAATCTATTATCACACTTGGGCTGACTATGTCTCGTATGTTTCCGGACTCACTTCTCGTGACCTGTTTCTCAGTGTCAAGTGCACAGACATACAGTTGATTCTGTATTTAGATCAACATTGAAAAGATGGAGACAAAGAGAAAAATTAGACAATGCAAAAGGTGCAAATGTGCTAATTCAAAAGTGCGGTTAAGATGACACACACACTCCCTTCAGAAACTTTACACCCACATTTGTTCCTGTTACACCTCCACAGTTCAGCACATTGAAATATTTTTCTCCAGGTTCAACACTTAATAATAGTTTTTCAAGAGCATTAATGACGCCAAAATGGGTACGCTTTGTTTTTTCTTGTAATAAAAAGCATCCCAAAATTTACACCCATAGTTTTAGCAGCAAATCTTATTGAGAATGTGTGAGATTTTCAATTTGAGTCAAGGCTTGAGTGGTCATCGGATGCACATTTTCCACAAGTTGGTATGATTCTTTAGGGTGTTCATGTAAAGTTTGTTACATACTTTGGTTAAAACTCCTCTATGGTTGTGTAAAACAATACCCTTTTTACCTCCTCAAAAACAGCTCTGTTCACAGCGACCCATTTCGGTGCATGTCTCTTTAAATGATAATAAGCAACTGCTCACCCCACCCCTCTCTTCCATGGGGGTGTCGACACGTAAAGTGCTGCCCATGGACAGTATAAGTGGACAGAGCCATCTCATTGGAACTCAGTTGAGACAGTTGAAGCCCATTTTTAGTGATTTTTGAGCACTTCCGTTCCTGACGTGCAGACTCAAACCGACTCAAACTAAGCTTGATGACGTGAGCAACCTGTCTGACAGACGTTAATCTTCTAGCAGCTGTGCGTGAAAATTGCCAACGTTAATCTTGTAGAGACGGGGAACTTGAGCAAAGAGTTCTTTGGCATGAGTGAGCAGGAGTAAGTATTCTGATTAATTATTAATTTGTATAGTATTTATTTTAAAATGTGCTTCTCCCTTGACGGGACGTCCCCCCGATTGCCTGCGAGCTTCTCCTCCTGTCTGTACGGTAATTTCTGCACAGCGCGACAGAGAGTCGAGTGATTATGACGCAATCGTTAGCCTATTTTTACAAAATCTGTTTCTACGGGGCCATAATGTAACATAGAAGGTAATGGAGCCCTTTATACATTGTCGTGTTTCTTTAGAAATAAATAATGGACAAATGGTATGGAATTATTTTTGTGCCGATAAAAATGAACGCAACTTTTCAAGAAATCAATGAAAATATAAATTAAAACTGAATAAAATATCTTTGAAACTGAAAAAGAATTAATCGCAGGCAATTTTTTTTTTACTTTGTTTTTAATACACTGCATGTTTTGCTAACTATTCCTCATATTTCTTTTACTGATCTAAACTTACAAATGCGCTTCAAGAGTTTTCATTTACGCTTCTGAAGTTTTCGTTTGCTTCTGAAGTTTTCATTTACGCTTCTGAAGTTTTCGTTTATGCCCCCTGAGTTTTCGTTCGCTGTTCCGCTGGTTCCGACACAAATCTCTCGTGGGGGCGGGGCTAGTAGCAGTGTGTTCTCATTAGTTAATGAGTTTTTGATTGACAGCTTTCTTGACCTGGAAGTGAAGACGTCAGTGTTGTGTTTACATGTGTGGATCTATTTTTTACAGTCTATGGTGTGGATGTGAGCGTCTGTAAGCGCAGCTTTCTATTTCATTTAGGTGATATTAAGTTTATATCTGTATTTATTTACTGAAATGAATGGGAGTCAATGGAAATGCTAACGCAAGTGAAGTTCTGCTACAAGATGGCGGCACACCCGGCCGGCTTCAACTTCCGGTCGATGGATTACCCCCTTGGGTGCTGCCTTGGTGGACACGGACAGTATACTAATAGCTGAGGGCGGAAATATGCTAATAGGGGACAGTCCTTAGTGGTCGTGGGCAGAGCATGAGCAATATGACATCCTATTGCTCAGAAAAACCAAACAGATTGATTAGTGAGAGTGTTTAGGCTTTTTGAGAATTAAAAAAAAAAGGAGTGAATGGATTTTTCATTGTATGGTGGTTGTGTGTCCACACACTGTAAAGACACATTTATATGCAAACACCATATAAAAGTGAATTTTGCATCCGATGATCCCTTTAAAAGAACATTAAAAAAATTAAGCTTCACATGGCTTTAGCAAACTCCAGATGTGAGACTATCAAAAAGTGGTAGCCACTCTCACAAGAAGAGATCATAGTGAGGTTTCTCTGAGTTGGTTAATTTCTGTAGACAGTTTTTTCCAGAGGTGGACAGTAACAAAGTACATTTACTTTTACTGTACTTAAGTAGCTACACTTTTTGAGTATCTGTAGCCTACTTTACTTGAGAATAATTTTTTCTGGAAACGTTTTACTTTAACTTTACATTTGAAAGACAACTGTCGTACTTTTTACTCCACTACATTTCTGCCAAGGTCCTTGAGTAGAAAGCAGTAACATCAGTCAGGGGATGATTTTGGTTGCAGACAGTGCAGGGATTGCATTTTGGTTGGAAATGAAAGTCGGTTTGACGTCAGAAGCCGACGTCAGATTGTAAGAACCCGATGTCAGTTTGACGCCAGAACCCGATGTCAGATTAACGTCAACATCCAACGTCGGAAAGAAGTTTGGATTTTGGTCGGAAATGAAAGTCGAGTTGACGTCAGAACCCGACGTTGGTTTGACGTTAACCCGACATCGGACCCGACTGATGTTGGTTTCTGAAGTCAACCCGATTTTCATTATCAACCACGTTGGAGAAACGTCAATCTTATGTTGGATTCTGACACCAACCTGATTTTCATTTTCAACATTGGGTTTGGTCTTCTAAATGTGAATTGTGTCATTATTTTGGAGCACATAGCTTATAGATAATAGTAAGGCTAACATATTCACACTAAAAGCCAACAAACTTTAAATAGGGCACTATTTGAGGGAACAGCCATTTGGGTATCCGAAACCATTGTGGACGTTATTGAGTTCAGTTATTCAATCTCACATTCAATCCCACTACTGGAACGTTCTAGAAATAAATTTGATATTGATATGAGGATAGGCCTAGGTAGGCAGGCATAGATTCAGAGGCATAAGGTATAAAGACTGCATAGGTATTACATACAACAATGCAACAATAATAAAACAATGCATTGACATTTACTTTTTACTTTTTACTTTTGATAGGCTACTTAAGTACTTTTAAAAACGAGTACTTCTAAAAATCGGTCTTTACAACTTTTACTTGTAACGGAGTAATATTTGACCAGCAGTATCTGTACTTTCACTGAAGTTGTGTACTTTGTCCACCTCTGTTTTCCCCTGTGATCAACAAACATACCGTAAACTTTTGTGACGAGGCATTGCCACAAGGCTACCAGTCTATTTAAACTGTCTATCAGTTCAAATTTAAAAAAGAAGAAGAAGAAAAATGGAACAATTCATGAAATGGCACAAATGCAAAATGTGGGATACAAAATTGTCAAATAATTGTTTTGGCCAGCAGACATTGTAATTAATTGTAATTTCCCACCAGACACTTAAATAAACCTGTTTTTAGTTTGTTTGTTTGTTTGTATGTTTTGCTCCATTTTATATTAATTTTGCCATGTCAAAACTAAGATAGTTTATAACCCTGTTTTTGGGGATTTTAAAAGCAATTCTAGCTTTTTAATATTCTAACAGTGCATTTCTAAACTAAATGTACAACATATGTTAAATTTAATAATAATAATAATAATAATAGGCCTATAGGAAAAATACTCAACTTTGTGTTTAAAATCTCAACATAACAATGAAATTTAGTTTAAAAATGGTTTAAATAAAATTTAGCTAAAACTTTTATTTTGGAATTCGATAGCCGCGTTCTCTTAATGTTTCAGCGCTCATTCGCTTTGTGTTCCTGTCAGTCCCAGTCCCTTCAGCTCAGAGGAACAGGGATCCAGCGGAAGTTGTACTGAGGAGGACTGTGTTCAAGCTAAAGCTACGGAGCTGAAATGGTGAGCGTTCAATCAGACTGCATTAAATGGGTGATATTCTTGAACTCACGGAACACTTGTCTCATTCCCTCTGGAATAAAAGCCCCCAATCCCGGCAAACATGTTTGCAGTTTATCCAGCCTTAAGTAGGCCATGGAAGTCGTGAAGGATTGGGTGGGGAGGCTGGTCATTATCAGTCAGCGATTAAACACTGATAAAACACAACAAATGGATTCCTGTGTCCTTACAAATTGGTTCTCATGGAGAATCTGTACGTGTTGGGCTTGCGTAAACAACGCAAATCCTACAGGACCTTTAAAAACAGCTGGAAAGCTGAAGGTTGAATTCCAACTAGATACCGAGTTTGTTCTGGTTTCCTCTAAAAATTAAGCTGTTTTTACGGTTTCAATTTTACACTCGTTGTTAAAAGTTTCTGCAGTCCTTCCTGGCTCCGTATGGACATTGAGCAATGCAATGCACATGATAATTAATGTTTCGCACTGCGTCAGCATTTCCTTGCATTGGGAGTGATGTTTTAACCGACAAAGAATTTTGAATTGATGTGAAACATTTTCCGTAGAAAACAGATTAACTTGGAATGTCGCTTTAGGTGTGTAATGCTTGATAAAGTTGTAGCACCACCAGTTATGACAAATTGTTCATGTGAGGGATGATAATTTGACTGTTTCGTATCATACTATTGCTGATAAGCAGGTTTCTTTCTTACACTTCTAACAAATTAGGTACAAACGCCTGAAATGTCAAAAGACCGTTTAAAACCTTAATTTGGGAATTAAGTTCTAGCATTTTTTTTATTATAACATTAAACAAAGTATGTGAAATTTATTAAAGTTGACATGAAATTAAAATGCAATATTCCATTTAAAAAAAACAATCAAAATTGAGTCCCCATCTTACTTTAAAAAAAAAAAAAAAAAAAAATTGATAATTTGTTTAACATGGCTGTATGTCACACTACAGAAAAATAGATCTTAAACTACCTGGATAACGGTGAATTGAAAATAAAATAAAACCAGATGATGTAATACTTTCAGAGTTTCCTTGGAGGTCTTTTTGGTCCTGTGTGTGAAATCGATGTCATTCTGAACGATGCTGAAAGCAGGAAAACAGCAGAGCTGAAGACGGAGGAGGGGAAATTGGAGAAGCATTATATGTTTTATGATGGAGAATCGGTTTCAGGAAAGGTGAGTGAGTAAACATCACCCGTGCGAGTCATTTCTTCAAGTCTCTGGTTTTGAAAGACAATTGACGCATGTTGTCTTCTGCCACCCCAAGGTAAATATCAATGTGAAACAAACAAGCAAAAGGCTTGAACATCTGGGAATCCGCATCGAGTTTGTTGGACAAATCGGTAAGTTAACACAATGCATTCAGTTATTCTCTTTCTCAAGGCATTCATGAGTAAACTGGCTTCAGTATTGCTGTTCTAGTATGCCGAGAGCTTAGGAGAGCATGTGGTTGTCACATGGAAAGCTAGACTGCTCTACACATTTTCTGTAAGGGAGGCGATCTGTTATGGTGCCCTAGTTATTTTATTTCTTAATTTTTAAGTATTATTAGTGATTCTGATGGTCTCAACGATCACAAGATAGCTGCTTGCAATGTAAAAAAGAAAAAAAATTGTCCGTCCACTACATACGAGCGTGTTATTTTTCCCCCACTCATGCAGAGCTCTTCAGTGATAAAAGCAATACTCATGAGTTTGTAAACCTTGTGAAGGAGCTCGCTCTGCCTGGGGAGTTGACACAGAACCGCAGCTATGACTTTGAGTTCATGCAGGTGGAAAAGCCATACGAGTCCTATGTCGGAGCGAATGTGCGGCTGAGGTTAGTAAACGCTTTGTGGAGTTTTTTTTTTTTTGCAGCATCAAAGCCAAACTGGAACAAACACTGAGATGTTAAAAATGCCAATACTTGTCATATGACTGCTGCTTTAAGACACGTTATTCTTTTCAAATGGCCCTGACAATTAATTTCAACTTTCATTTCATGTGCTTTTCATGTCTATGCAGATATTTCCTTAAAGTTACAATTGTAAGGAGGCTGTCTGATTTGGTAAAGGAGTATGACCTCATTGTCCATCAGCTGGCCACCTACCCTGACGTCAACAACTCTATCAAAATGGAAGTGGGCATTGAAGACTGCCTGCATATAGAGTTTGAATACAATAAGTCCAAGTAAGTGCACTTAACTTTGCCACTGATTCAATCCTAGTTTCTAAGCTGCTGAGTAATTCTAAGTATGTATGGATTCATTAAACATGTTTGTCAGTCTAACTGATTTTGAGCTAACAGAATTCTTCTTGTCTTCAGGTATCACCTCAAAGACGTAATTGTGGGTAAAATCTACTTCTTACTTGTACGAATTAAAATCCAACACATGGAGCTTCAGTTGATCAAGAAAGAGATGACGGGAATTGGTGAGATCTCCTTATATGTTAGATTTTATACTCTTGTATGATTCTTGAATAATTGTTTTGAAAGGATATAATTTGTAAGTCACAAAAACCAAAGTTATTAATCTTTAAAGAACATTTTACTGTAGTCCAGCTTGATTTGAATTTTATTTATTTATTATGAAGTGCGTCATGTGACATGTCTCTCTAGGGCCGAGCACAACTACTGAGACAGAGACTGTGGCCAAATATGAGATTATGGATGGAGCACCAGTCAAGGGTGAGCAGCTACTCCACATCATTTTCTGTATATATTTGTTATGATACGAGTGTAGATGTGTCTTTTAAAAAGTTTTTTACTACTGAAGACAAAGTGTACTAATGTCAGGCAGGCCTCAATCATGAAACAAAAGCGGAACAAATTTCTGTTAACCATTCATTTAAACTTTCATGCATAAATTGTCACAAAAAAAAAAAAAAAATCCTAAAACACCCACGGAATCTCGTTCCTAAATGACAACGATTCGGCTGTGTCTATTAAAACTGACAAAAATCATTCACACCGGAACATTCAAATCTGCGTCGGCGCTGCCGCTGAGCCAGAGAGAGCAGTTGTCATATTCAAGTATGAAACAGCTTTTCAACCACATAGCGTTATTTGATTTCTTTGCTACAAATATTCTTATCACAGAAGACCTGGGATAAAAGTTTATAGTTTGGATAGAAACATTGATTTCTATGGAAGCGATCATATTAGAGCAAATCACCTTTTGAAAGTAACACGGATGGCGCTTCAAATAAGGATTGTGTCCTTTATATTGTTACGCTACCAGGTGGCGACAAGTGACTGTTAAAAAAAAAAAAAAATTTTAGATAATGTCTAATGAATCTGAGTGAATTTTAAATAGACTGCAGCAAATAACATTTGTGTGAACCTCTTGAAAATTACATGTTATTTTGTAGTTGTCTGTTCAGAATTGTGGGAGAATCATGTTCTCTGAATTGTGCAGCGCTAACAGTATCTCAGTGTTGTATCTCAGTGTTGTGATTGGTCAACTGCTTAAGCCCAAAGTGTTTCTGAGAAAGCCTGCTCACACTTCATTTGATGTGCTATGCGATTTTAGAGACTAGTTAATATTGTGGTGCTGGTCGCATTAACATAGTATGATATTGCCAGTTTCATTATTCCTAAACTGACTTTTGTTCCCCTACTGGACTGACAATATATTTCCAGGTGAATCCATTCCCATTCGCCTTTTCCTGGCTGGTTATGACCTTACACCCACAATGAGAGATGTAAACAAGAAGTTCTCTGTGAGGTACTTTTTGAACTTGGTGCTTGTAGATGAAGAAGATAGGAGATACTTCAAACAGCAGGTACAGTTTGTATGAAAATGCAGTTGTAATAAAATGTACAGTTTAAATAATGTTTCTTTTGAATGTCCCAAGTGACAATGCTTGTTATATCAAATTTTTACTTTCAGTGTCTCATTTGTCAATTTGTCAAGTCATGCATGTATGTCAGCAGTATGACTTGATTATTTGTCCCTTTTTTGTGTGTGTAGGAAATAGTTTTGTGGAGGAAGGCACCAGAGAAAATGCGGAAACGGAACTTCCATCAGCGCTACGAGTCACCTGAGCCTCGGCCGAGTCTCTCTGCTGAGCAGCCGGAAATGTGAGCGGGTTTTGGAGAGCAACCAGCCAGGGACACACGTGCCTCTCAGTGACCAGTCGCAGGAGAGGAGAACAAATTCCACTGAACATACATGCAGATCGCTGTTCACATGGTCACCCCTCACAGCTTATGGTGATAAACTGTGCCTGAATTGGCTCTGCCCTCCCTGTTGTCCACAGCAAGCAATCTGTTATTACACAAGGACACTTTTTTAGAAAGCACTGGAAACGGTCATTTAAGTCATATAGCACATCTTCAAGGTTGCACGCATCCCTAGATGAAGAAATGTTTTTAAAAGTGCACTCACTGGTATCCTCTATGTTCCAAATAATAGAGCAGAAACACATTTTAAAGAGCTTCATCATGCATGCTAGCTGGTGAATCAGAGTTCATAGTAACAGTTAATAAAGGCTATGGGGTCATTTAAAAAAAAAAGGTCAAGAAATGGAATGGTACCCAGGCTGCACTGTATTTGCAATCCACTTAAACATTTCTATTTAACTTATTTAGCGTCTTCTTTTTTGTTTTGTTTTTCTTAAATATTCCTTGAAATAAAAAAAAATGATATGTCTATATATAAAATATTTAAAGAGGCTTTGGACTAGAAGCTTTATAAAACTAGGGCAGTTTGTGTAATTATATTGGGCACATGTATTCAACTTGTTTGCCCCGTGTTGAACACACTGGCTTAGTAGTAAAAGAGGGCCACTTGAACTTCCTAATGAGCTTTCTGAGATGATTCATCAGCATCGCTATACATTGCTAAATATCATCTCTGCTACAAACTTACATTTCATATCGTCTAAATTGTTAGACACCTTAGAGAAATGATGGGATTGTTTTGTTGTAAAATTTGCATGTCATCCTGCTTTAAGGCTTTCTAACAAAACGATGTTAACAATATTTCACTGTCGCAAATGTATTCGTTCTTATTTTATGTGGTTTGTGGAGTAAATGTGTTTATTTGGACTTTTTTGATTTCACTCTAAACATTACATTTATTCTTTTTTCCCTACTGCTTTGATTTTAAAACGCACTACATTACAAATGGAAAGTCTGTGTACAAAACTATTAAGTGCCCCAATGGTAAAGACACAATGACTAATGAAGTAGTTGTGCTATGGCAACCGTGTCATTTGTACATCATGAAAATTGTACATATCCCGCCATAGTTTGTTTATCTGCCATTATGTCAAATAAAAATGCCAGTTTATACTTACAGCTACATTTATTTTTGTATTAAAAAAATAACAATGTTATTAATGAGTGGTAAAGAAAATCCATATTCCAAACCAGGTCTTTATGGAAATACCCTTTGATAAACCCTATAGTGATTTTTAAAGCTCTCGGGACGGATCTGGCGGGAAATTGCACACAGTCGATCGATTGTGTGTGTTACGTCAAATCCATTACAATGTCATGGACATTACAATTAGTTAATCTATTTGTCCTGTTATGCTCTGCTGTAAAAAAAAAAAAAAAAAAAAAATTCATCGACTGGATCATAATGGTATTGTGTAACGTTAACCTTGCTCAAGTAAAGTTTGAACAAGTTTATAAAGGGATCTGAATGGTTCATTCCTGAATCAGTTTGCACCAAAACGATCCTTCACGTCATCATCACATAACATACTAACGGACTGCAAGTGCTCAGTTTTTGCTTTCATGTTGTCATTCTCAGTTATTTCATAGCGGCTGTGATTGAGCTATAAGAAAGTAACATCATTAAAACGAATAAAGAATAAACGGGTCAGTTTCGGTTGCGCTGCAAATATCATTGACAAAATGTCATTACAACTGTTTGTACCACATGCCTGTCATACCCACAATCCCAAAATGATTATCCTTCAAGATTGCACATTTTATAACGAACGTATTCTCATGATATTGCAGTCTACTATACACATATTATCCATTTCATTTAAATTTATCCAATCTTGATTTTAAGACTTGAATAAATATTGAGATAAAAAACAGGCATTTTCTTCGGGCAGCACAAAATCTTGGGTCCTTCTACACGTTGTCACTGAGGGGAACTTGACCTCCTTGTCATAATAGGTTGTGGGACTGTTGCTGTTGCTGAAATGAACTTATGTTTAACATTAAGTTTATAATATGAATTGTGCTACTGTCAGTTTTTATTACTCTGTTCATCCAGCTGCACGTGATTAACGGAAGCTAAAAATGTCTGTAAATCGCTGTATTTACTTGTTGTCGCGTTGCCACATCCGATACCGGGTATGTGCTAGCACAAGCTTCTCCGCTGCTTCAGTAGCAAACAACACTTCACTGCATCCAACAAGAAGGACGTCTGAAAAATTATCCAGGAGACATTCATCTTCAGACAACTCATCGAGACCCCTGGACACATCACTGTTTATACCGCTCACCGTCAAAAGTGATGAAGTCTGGGATGCCGCAATCGGTGCTGAGTTGACGCAACCACTGGACAAAAGTATGTTATGTTATTAGAATATTGTACAATCGCATTGACGGGTTAAGGATCTGGCGAGAAGCCATTCTGTCCTGGTGTTTTTATAGATTTTTATACATTTGGTGAACTATTGCAACAGAAATACATCTGATATTTTTTATCAACTGGTTTTAATAGGTGAAATCCTCAAAGTACTGAATCGATTCTACAAAAGGAAAGAGATGCAAAAACTGGCTGCTGACCAAGGACTTGATGGTGAGAATCATGGATCAATGATTATTATTACCTGATCTTACTTAATTAACATTGGTCAACCATGATGGGTCACATTGTGCCCATCTAAAAACTATAGACACATAGCAGTATGTCAGGGATACTATTGTATATTTTGTTTGTTACAAAGCATTTTGGTTTGTTGCATCATTCTCATCAGAGCATTATTGTTTCTTTGTTCTTCGACAGCTCGTCTCTTCCATCAAGCGTTTGTCAGCTTTAGGAAATATGTGCTGGAAATGAACGCACTAAATGCTGACTTGCACATCATTCTTAGTGACATCTGCTGTGGAGCTGGTGAGTATTTACTTCAGACATTTAACTGACAATCTCCATACACTGTAAAAACTTTAAAAAAAAATTGGATGCTTCGTTAACTGACAATGTGAATATACCAACCTATTTAAGTACTAAAATCTGTTTTGTGCCCTTATAATACACTAACAACCACCAAAAAACACTGTAAAAGCTACATGATCAATCAAAGTTCATCATAAGCAGCTTTTCTACAAACTGATGGAAGTATTGATAGAAGGTGCACACAGTGTCATACAAATACAAAGCATCATCATGGTAACACACATGAAACTAAAATAACGTAACAAACATTAATATAAAGGGATGGTTCACCCAAAAATGAAAATTAGCCCATGATTTACTCACCCTGAAGCCATCCTAGGTGTATATGACATTCTTCTTTCAGACGAATACAATCGGAGTTGTATTAAAAATGTCCTGGCTCTTCCAAGCTTCATAATGGAAGTGAATGTCTGTATGTCTTTGGAAGTCCATCAAAGCGCATCTAAACATTTTTAAAGTGCTCCACGCGTCTCCATGGGTCCTCAGGGGCTAATTTTCATTTTTGGATGAACTATTCCTTTAACCCTCTGGTTATCTTTGGGGTCTTTTTAACCCGCAAATGACTTTTGGTCAAATTAAAAAAAAAATTCTCTTTGTCCAAATGGTATGAAACTTTCTACAGCTCTTAACACTTCATAGATCTACAAAAGAAAAGAAAAATTGGAATGATATCTGTTATTATGTTGCCGTGAAAAAAATAGTCACACTTGTTGTCTTCGGGGTCCCTGGAGACCCCGCATAGTAAATATATAATATTCATCATCAAAATCAGAAACAACGCAGATCACATGGACAGAAATGAAATGGCACACTTCCAACAATGTAAAAAACATCCACAATGCAAAATTATCATGCTCGCCACACACACACACACACACACACACACACACACACACACACACACACACACACACACACACACACACACACACACACACACACACACACACACACACACACACACACACACACAACCACACATACACACAGAAATACATTTGTAAGGCTATAAAAAAAGTCTTATAATTTGTCAAATAAAATGCAGAACCACCACAAATATAAATTGGTGACACTGACACAACGAAAATACACACACACACACACACACAGAATGTGTGTCTGCAGAAGTCATGCAACGTACTACGCATACTGCCTGCAGTGCACTGACTCGTGAACACCTCCAGTGCACCACCAATTGTTGTTCTTATTTGTTCAAAAAACAAAAATTTCCCAATCAGTTTTTTTTAACAAAATAATTTTTATATTACAACCATTTTATTTTTTTACTGCTTTATTTGATCATTTGTTATTGCTGTTCAGTTCATTGCACTTTTGTTTTTTTTTCTCAATATGTAATATAACTGTTCATTTCTGTTATTTTTTGTTCTGTTACAGTTTGTAACTGAAACGTTGATTAAAAATGATAGAATTATATTAAAAACAGATAATTGAAATAAATGATAAAATCTAAAGACTCCAAGATTTTTTGTAACATCTTGTTCAGGTTTGATTCTAATCATAAAGTAACATTATTGAAGAACTTTTTTCAATACAAAATATGCTAAACTTAATACAAAATATGCTAAACTTTGACCAAAAGTATATAATTCTTTTTTATAATTTTGATTTTAAAATATTTATATATGAATCCAACTGAATCCAACTTGTGAAAAGATGTATTTTGGTTAATCAAACAGCAAATAGCATATAATGGAGCTCTATAGCAATATAGTGGTTAAAGTGAATTTTTTTATTTTAAAACTTCATTTTCCAAAAAAAGGGCAAAAATCTTACATTAAATCATGTACAATTATCCATGTTATCCCCATAAATGAAAGTTAGAAATCTGGGTCCTTTATAAAGTGAATTTTACATAAAATGCTGTTTTTTGTAAAAAAAACTATTTATTTAAATATTTATTTATTTATTTTTAGAAATTTAAAAAATATCAAAAATCCTCCAAAAACTGCACAAATGTTGAGTAAAAACATTAATAAACAAAGTAAAATTACATTTGTAAAAAATTTTTTATTATACTGTTACAAAATGCAATGTTATTGTCTGGGGTCCCTGGAGACCCCAAAGATAACAAGTGTAGACCCTAAATGAAGATAATCAGAGGGTTAACAACATAAGATGATGCATAAAACCCTAATGTGCATAAGAAAACTGACAGTATTTTACTGTAAAATTACATGAAATGTCTTTTTTTTCTTTTACTGTGGTAATTTTTTACAGTGTAAGAAAAGCCATCTATTAATCTTCCTTTTCCTCATTCCAGGGCACATAGATGATATTTTCCCTTACTTTATGAGACATGCCAAACAGATTTTTCCCATGTTGGACTGTATGGACGATTTACGCAAGATCAGTGACTTACGGGTCCCAGCAAACTGGTACTGAGAGTTTCATTCTCTGATTTTACCAAAAGTGTAAACCTTCTCATCTGCACTTACTAAAGTTTTCTGACACCATACCATGAAACAGTCATTACAGTTGTTAGTATTTTTTACCAATACAATCTTTTGAACAAAAATGTGTGTTCCAGGTATCCAGAGGCCAGAGCTATTCAAAGAAAGATTGTTTTTCATGCAGGACCCACCAACAGTGGTAAGACCTATCATGCCATCCAGAGATACCTAGCAGCCAAGTCTGGAGTTTACTGTGGACCTCTAAAGCTACTGGCCCATGAAATCTATGAGAAGAGTAATGATGCAGTGAGTTTCATTCTTTAGCCTTTTTAATGTACCGGTAATTGCATTAGTCGTGGATGTTAGAGCCGCTTATGTGTGGTTTCCCATTAGGGAGTGCCGTGTGATCTGGTGACAGGAGAAGAGAGAAAATTTGTTGATCCTCAAGGAAGACCGTCTGGCCACATTGCCTCTACGATAGAGATGTGCAGTGTCACAACTCCATGTGAGTATAGAGAACATGCTCGTTTGAATGTGAGAATACTTGAGTCTTGATGGTAATCTTAAAGAGGCTGTATGTAGAATTCAGAAACCCTTGTTATTAGTGCTTGTGCTCGCACTCGTGCAGACGTAACGTATAAGATACTGAACAGGATTCAAGGCCCCGATATACTCACAGCAAAGTTCTTTTTACTTCTAAGCAAAGAACTGTGAAATACCTTTGCAGCGATATACTGTTAA